CTACGCTACAATGGCACATTTTCCAAGGGGTTAATCTAGCCTCTCAATGTGAATATTTGATTATAAGTGACCATATTGTCTGAATAACGGACGAGTTTAGACAGCTTTGATTCACTTCTGAGGGAACTGAGAGACGAGAAATGATAGACGTCTGTGTCTTGCTCTTAAAAAGAAAAATCACTTTCTTTGTCGATGTTTACGGCCCACCAAGCAGAGCATCGCTTTCCCATCAGACAAATAAAACGTTGTTCACTACCAGTTAGCAGTACCAAGGCCATGGGGCCACCTTAAATTGAACCGCAGTTCCTGTTGAGCCTTTTAAAGATAGGATCCTTTGAGTTTAGTTGAAAGCAACCATTACTCGTGAGTATAGGCAGTGAAAGCCTCAGAGGCTCTTCTGAATGCTTCTGTGTTCACATGAATGTTTTACTGCGTCAAGGAGCGAAGCTTTGCTGCAGCCTAAGGTGGAGCTTCTAGAGCTAAATCCCACATCAAATGCACGCTGGGTCATTGAAAATGTTTTCTCTCAGTGATTGTGCTGTTATGTTAAATGTTTGTTTTTCATGTATTGTGTCTTGATAGCGATGCAAGTCAAATGTCAGACTTGATCTGACCATTAAAGTATTATCGTATCGTAGTTTCAGACCAAGACTCTCTTCGTGCAGCGAGTGTCATCATCACACACACCGAATGACCTGTTTTTTTTTTGTCCGGTGAGCACACACACACACACACACACCCACACACCCACACACACACACACACACACTGAAGCTCTGACTCATGTCTAGACAGAAAAATTTGGGGCGGACATAAAGGCGGTGACATTTATGCAAGAGGTTCCCGCTGTGCAATCAGACCTCATGTTCCACACTGGGCTCAGTCAGAGGTAGCCAACAGTCAGAGTACATGTGAAGCCTTTTTGTGTTCCCTGTATTCTCCTCGTCCAATGAATGCAGCTCACAGCTCACAGGCTTCTTTAAAGGCACTGCTGCTGCTCTGGAATTAAATGGAAGCAGCAGGATGGATAATTTTAAAATAACAGTGATTTTCATGGCATGGCGACAAGGTGGCGTCCATTAAAGCAAACTTCTAGCTCAGAAATTGGTACATAAGTACATTATCCCGCTGCTTCTGTAATAGTTTCCATTATTATTTCCCTTTTATCGGGTTTAAAAATCGTTGGAATAAGGTGCTGCTTTAGAGGCTGATAAATGTGATATTCTGCCTGGGTATACGTCCCTGCACAGCGGGCACTGACGTGGAAGAACAGTAGAGATTGTTCAAGAGTCAATTTCTGTCTTGTGTGAAGTCATCTGAGGAGTGATATTGAATCTGCGGGGAGACTGTGAAGTTTCAGCAGCAAGACGAGGTAACGCACCTCAGCCTGTTGATGTAATTTACCTGCAAACAGAGTTAAAAAAAAAAAAGCTTTTCCATTCAAGCTGACTTTCAAAACTTTACCAGACGCTTCCCTGATCTTATTCAGCTGACAAAACGTATGGCATCAGCTTTGTTAAGGTTTTTTATTCTCAGTTTGGGTAAGGCTTATAGTCCCAGACGGTGTTTAGAAACCTTTCGTCAGGATATTTATAATGTGCTATTCATCTCTTAAGCTTCAGATGTGTTTTTTGTTCTGCCACGGCACAAGGGAACAACAATAAGACTTAAACGTATTTGTTGAGCTTAGTTTTTATCCGTGGTGTTTTGTTATTTCATCTTATAAGTCTTTAGTGGCTCCACAGTGAGCTTATTGCCTTTCAGCTTTAGTTAGACCGGCTGTGACTCCCCCAGAAAACATGGTTTCACAGACACTTTGTCCAAGAAAGAGTATCTGGTCTTATTATATTAAACCTAATTAAACAAAATGACTGTCAAAGTTGCAGTAAAATACAGCTGCGTGTTCTTCATGCATGTTGAATGAAACCCCGAGAGAGCGTCTTGACCCCGCTCCTCTCACATTGCCTGCAAAGACTTAATTGCCAGTAAATTTGGTTGATTCCAGAGTCTGACTCATCCAGCTCTAATGGAGGTGTTTTGCACAAGTGGGCTCATTCTCATCATTTGGTTAGCATAACAGCAATTTAGAGCTGTGCCTTTTTGGGTCTAAATGAGTTTTTCAGTTACAGAATGCACTCGACTCTAATGTGGCGGGAAAAGGCTTTTGCACACAGCTTTAATTAGTGTACTGGAAGTAGGAAATATAGGGTTATATTACGCTATTAAATGCATAAAGCACACATGTGACCCTTAACATTTTAGCCATACTTGCAACACTACTTACAGACTGACATTTGAGTCTGAGGGATTGACATAAAATGTGAAGCTTATTGCCTTCCTCATAATAATAGATTACAATACACTCGTTCCATTTATTTGGTATATGCATACACATTTGAAAAAACGAGCAACATTCAGCCTAAACTGTATGTAGTTGTAATTAGAAATGTTGGTGGATGACTGTAGCAAACATTATATATGAGTAACATCAGTGTGTAAGGATGGTCAGTGTGTGTGCTAGCATGCTGGTTCCCATACAGCAAAACTCAATTGTCATGAGGGAAACATTTTCTCCGAATTAAATTGAAATAACTTAACGTTGACTTTTGGTTTTCATGAAGGAACCACACACAGGTCACTCTTTAAACGTTGTCCCTTGAACTCGTTGCACCCATCGTATACAGCCACTACAGTGCGTGTAATAAAACGTAAATATGTAAAAGTCCTACATTAGGTTGTTTTTCGGGTTCAACTTCAGACATTGGAGTGTTGCAAAGCAAGTTAGTTTAGGGAGAGAGGACATTTTGTGTGCAGGAAGTCCCACCTGGTTGTTTTAGCTTCAGTTTGAATTTTGTTTCACTGTAATTAAACAATGAATGCCCCCTCCCCCCTCCTCTCTTCTGTTTTCTCCTCAGATCCGGGACTTCTGCAAGACCAGGGAGTCCCCCCCCTCTTCCCATGTAGTTATTCTCTATCTCTCTCTTCTCTCTCTCTCCTTATCTCCTCTCTCTCTCTCTCTCTCTCTATCTCTCCCTCTTCTCTCTCTCTTCTCTCTCCTCTCTCTCTTCTCTCTCTCTCTCTCTCTTCTCTCTCTTTGCTCTTCATGTTTCAACTCATTTGTACCTCAACAAGCATTAGTTATACTGTCTTCTCCAGTTACATGCTATTTATTGTAATGCTAACTGAATCCGAATAACCCCCCAGGGAATTAGGTTTTGTGATAGTCCAACATTTTTTAAATATATTAATTTAAAATAACAAAATTGAAAGAAGAATGTGAGATACAGACATACAGTATAATACAATAAATATATTTAAATAAAAGTGAGAAGTTACTCTAAAATGTAAAAGAAAAGTATGTATACATGTTTTTCTAAATGGATACAGTGGTGTATAAGCAATAACAGAAATAGGTCCTAGGTAAATGTTATTTTTTATATTTTCTGAATGAGAATACGTTATTTATCCTGAGGAAATTAGGTTTTGTGATTGTCCATTTTAGATTGAAATAAATACATAATATATATATAAATAAGAATGTCAGAAAAAAAGTACAATACAACTAAAATTATAACTTTCTCTAAAATAAAAATAAAAACTACGTACATAAGCATAATACGTTAAAATTCATTATGTAACATGTTTTTAATATATATATATACAGTGGTGTATAAGCAATAACAGAAATAGGTCGTATATGTCTGTTTGTTGTGGTTCCACGTGTGTTAGTTAGCTTATCCACACCTGTATATGTGTGTGTGTGTGTGTGTGTGTGTGTGTGTGTGTGTGTGTGTGTGTGTGTGTGTGTGTTTATGCCTGTGTGTGTGTTGCAGCCTGTCAGTATGACATGGTGGGTCCAGAAGGAATCGTAGAGTCTCATCAGATCACCAGAGACGGGAAGGCGGGCGCCTCGGAGGCCGTGGACTGTAAATGGTACATCAGAGCTCCACCTCGCTCCAAGGTGAGTGACTGTTAGAGCCAGTGTTTTGTTTTTATAAGAAAGGCCACCTAATCGTGACGTTTGTAGTCAACCAGAGTATAAAAGACTACAGTTCCCATGGCGCCTCCTCTAAAGTGACAGTGATGGGCAACCTGCTAGAAAGACGCCACCGTTTTTATAGTCTAGCAGGAAGGGCCCTCAGATTTTGAGATACCCCTACCCGAGGTAGAACAAAACACAACAATGATTTTTATTATCTTTAGGGTCTCCCATTAATGAAATTGATTGTTGTCACATTTTATTTTGGTTGTTCTTTAGAACTACCCCAATCCCTGAAAAAGAGCCATACAGGCCGAATATGGGAAAGGTGACAAAAAAGCCCATAACTTGAGAATGACCACTCTTTTCCTCTTCAGATTTGCTCAGGTATGAACCAGGTAGCTGTCCTACATCACCAAATAGTCAGACAATTATTTAACTAAATAAATACTGAATTATAGTCCTGTAAACTTAGCTTTAGTTTAGACGGAAATTGTACTTTTTGGTGATAGGAACATAGGACTCACTCACTCTCATTTATCAGAGAAACAGAAATCCCTAAAAAATATACCATTACTGAATTGTCTAGGTGCTATTGAACACCAACCAGTATGTATGGATATATCTGGTACAGTTCTATTGCAAATTAGATTTGTTTAGACATAGGCCTACCTCTCTTCCTTCCTTGTCTAAGGAAAGAAAACGAGTACAAAAATGTCTGTTTAAGGCGTCTAGTGGCTTGATAGAAAAACAAGGAAGGAAGCCACGACAGTGACGCTAAGCTACGTCCGTCCATCAGATTCACTGCCGAATCTGAAAATGTCACACAGAACAAAATGGAAATGTGATTGTGTTGGGATGAAGACAGCAGCAGACGAGAATAGACGCTGGAAAATACATATTTGGGAAACTTTCAGCTCCAACTTTAAGACTCTATTGAGCATTTTTTCATCTTAATTTCATGTTTCCACTTTGCATTCCCTCACACCCGCCTCTGGATCAGGGGTTGCATCAGGAAGCTTTGATTCTGCTGCTGGGTTAGTGTGCAGCTGTCAGCAGGGTGTGAGGGTTGGTGGCTGCGGGGGGATTGTTCCTGTGCTGGGGTCAGACAGATAGGAGCAGGGTTTACTCCAGGTCAGGCCCCCCCCCTTTTTTGTAATCAGCAAACTGTTGCCAAGAGGAATGAAGGGATGGAAGCAGAGGGAGAGACGGAGGGAGAGTTAGCGCTGATGAAACAGCGTTGCCATGCAGTTTGACCCCGAGGACTCCTACAGCCTGTATTTGTTTTCTCTGCAGGTCTTCTCCACACATGCATAAACAATACTGACACACACATACACACACACACACACACACACACACACACACACACACACACACACACACACACACATACACACACACCACACACACACCACACACACACACACACACACACACACACACACACACACACACACACACACACACACCTTTACTACATCCCAGACATGCTTTTTTCTTATCTACACAAGCTACCTGCAATGCATTAAAGCTAACGGATTAAAAGTGTCCCCCGAGCAGCAGTAAAACTCCTCATATGGCTCGATCATATACGCACTGCAGTAAATCTACTCCTGGAATAGTGTAGCAGGACTTGATTTAAAAGAATAAAGCCACACTTTTACTTTGGCTTTGGACAGAATTGAGGAGGCTTGCAGTTTCTTTAGTTTAAAAGGTTTGGTTGGCTTTCTTCGTAATTGAAAGGCTTTTTTACGATGTAATTTCAGACATTTGAGACTATGTAAGAATGTAAAAACGCAGATAGAAAAACATCCTTCAACCCTTATAATACATTTTACTTTACTAGCACTATATCAGGAGCTCAAAGACGCTTCACAGAGCTAAGAATCACAAGGACACTTTAATCACACATTAAAAGCTAGTCTGAAAAGGTGAGTTTTGAAGGTTGGGAGGTCAGTGCAGTCGCTGATTTGTTGTGGGAGTGATTTCCTAAAGGTTATTCACAATACAGGTGAAATAGTGACTTACTATGAAGGTTTTTCCCTTTGGGATCAGAGTGTGTGCAGAGTGAAACAATGCAGCTGCTTATCCGCGTCACTATCAGTTTCACTAATGCAGCGCTAGTTAACGTTACAAGATGTTATCCTCCGCCACCACAGAACTCTTTCTACAGTCACACAGCACACATTAGGGAAGCTATTAAACGTTCTCCCATCCCTGATGACGACTTGCACATTTTCCATGCAGGTCTTTCACACTGTGCTGCACACACACACACACACACACACACACACACACACACACACACACACACACACACACACACACACACACACACACACACACACACACACACACACACACACACACACACACACACACACCACACACACACACACACACACACACACACACACACACACACACACACACACACAATCTTATGCCCTGCTGATGATATTGCTGTGATTCATGGCCACAGCCATTTCTTATCTCTTATCTAACGTATTATTCGGGTTGCATATTTTTCCTGCTGGCGCCCATGGTTCCCGTTCAGAAACGTCCTTCGTATTTCTCGTTACTTTCATGCCCAAGGCCACGGGAACGAAAGGACTGCGACATCCACCCAGAGCCATTCTCCTTACCATCAGCACTCATCCAATAAACTTTGCAGCAGGTATAGGAGGGACCCTGGCCCCGGCTTAATGTTAAGGTCGATGCAAAAAAAGCAGCATTGATTCCTCCGTGCCTCTAAGTGGTTTGCATACGACAGCCAGTACATGTCGGCTGCAGAACCAACGAGGACAATAAGTCAATTTTGCACGAAATAGCATTGTGTGTGTGTTTGTGAGGCTGTGTATGAAAGAGCGACAGAGTGATGGAGCCTGGCAGTATGATGTATTTTCCTCCGTCTGTATCAGTGTCATATTCAGCCCTGCAGGAATGTGTCTCGCAGGGCAAAAGCCGGACTGTCATTGGCTCTGATGGACAAGGAAGCAAATAAAAATGTTAGCACGGATCTGTCCTGAAGATCTCACACCCACCACCACTGCTCGCTCTCAATTACCCATACAAATGTACCCTACTGTCTTTTTAAAACACACACATGCTGCTGCAGTGAGAGACCGCTGTGTACAGTAGGCGTGATTTTATGACTCTATGCTGATACAGGACTGCACTCACCCAATGTGCCTGAAACAGCAGAGAGATAATGACATCCTACACTGGAGGCTCTAATTAAACCGGAGCACTCCAGAGGGAAGGCAGGAGAGGGGAGGAGGAAGAAGGGGAAAAGGGAACGATACTCAATAATGCATTTTATCAATGGTCTAAATGCACTAAGAGGAGGTTTAAGGGTGAGGTGGCTACACAGACTGAAAAATATACCTGCTGCAAGTAAGCAGTAATGACCATGTGTTGTTGCCAGAAGTGACAGCACTGCAGCAGTTTGATGCCATAATGGGATTGCCTTACACCACCTTGTGTCATTTGAATTCCTTCCCGTAAATCGGTTCTGCAGGACTACCTCGAAAGAAATTAATTAGTTTTAGGTGTAACGTAAAGCATGCAGTTAAACACAATATCACCTTTTAATATACATACACACAACTCTCATCTTCTGCTCTCTGTTTGCATCATTTCTTCTTCTCAGCTGTTATATCATATATATATAATATTTCCCGTATTTTGACACATAACAGTTGCTGCATTCATCATGTGTGTCTCGTCTGTTTTTCACCATCTGGTCTTCACTGTCTGACACCTTCCTGATGGTAATGGCCAAAATATGGACATTCATACCGACTATAATGAACAGCATGTACGCTGCTACAGGCCCCTTTTAAGGAAGCACTGAGAACATATTCTGCCCCAGTCAGTGATGGATTCTGCGTCGTTATTGGGCGCTGCAGAATCAATGAGGAGGCAGCCTATTTTCCTGCAGGAGAGCAATCTCTCGCCTTACAAATTGGTGATTGTATCTATCTGATCCATTGCCGTCATTTGGGTTTGTGATGGCGTCTGCAGTCTGATTTGTCTTCATCATCGGCCAGTTAGAAGTGTTCTGACACAAGAAAAACCCAAACTCTTATTGCAGCATGTCCCTCTTTTTATTTCCAAGCCAAATAAAGTAACAAGCATCTATCAGACATTACTCAAGTGCGTGCAAATGTTAGGAACATATATCACAGGCATGACAATGCTAGTTCTTGTTTTTCCTTGCAACGAGCAAAATGGGAACAAATGCAGGCCAAGGTACCACTTCATAAAAACAAGACATTTCTAATGTAGGACTACAGTATAATCTTTTACAACATAAAAGGGTTTACTGTACGTAGCAGCATAGTCAAGTATTTTATGCTTTCATCATTGTGTTGGTAACGCTAAAAAACAATAATTGTGTTTCTTGGTTCTTACAAGTGAAACCTGCAACTGTCAGCACAAAGCTAGCTGTTTCCTTCTGTCCTGTTCTTTAACAGTTCCTACAGTTGCATTTTAAGATGCAGTAGTACATCTGTAGTGCTTATGTTCTATTGAAATGTGTTGTTTTTCCAACCATAATGCAAAACAAATCAGTCAGTGAAGCGTAGGGATGTAACGATACCAAAAAACTCACGGTACGATATTTATCGCGATATTGAAAAATAAAGGGAAAATATTATATATATTAATATTATTATTATTATTATTAAATAATAAATCTGATTTGTACAGCATTTTAGTAGGATAGTAGTATTTTAAAGTGTCAACAATATAATAATCAGACCCTGCAATAGAATAAATCAAGTTTCACTTTAGTTTTTCAAGTAACTCAACTCTAACTCACTCACTCACTCACTCACTCACTCACTCACTCACTCACTCACTCACTCACTCACTCACTCACTCACTCACTCACTCACTCACTCACTCACTCGCTCACTCGCTCACTCGCTCACTCACTCACTCACTCACTCACTCACTCACTCACTCACTCACTCACTCACTCACTCTCTCTCTCTCTCTCTCTCTCTCTCTCACTCACTCACTCACTCACTCACTCTCACTCACTCACTCACTCTCTCACTCACTCTCTCAGCGTCATCAAGGTTATCTTTCAGGAATATGAGCATGTCCACATTTCCAGGTAGAAGCTGGGATGTTTGGGCGTTTACAAAATCCCCTGCTGTGGAAACAACTCTCTTGCTTGGTACTGATGTTGCTGGGACAGAGAGACATGCTTTGGCCATGGGTGACAGCAGTGGGTCAAACTGTGCATTGTCTCTCCGCGATATTCAATATATCGTTACATCCCTAGTGAAGCGTCAATATGATGTTAAAGGTCTTACTCAAAGGTGCACATGAATAGTTGTATCAAATCATGTGCTATTCTTCAAGTATATTTTGAAATAGTTCACAGAAAAAGCATAATATGGCATCTTTATAATTCTAATATTCATCCTCTGGACCATGAATGTGTACAAAGTCTCCATCTCTGGATGTAAAACACATGCAAATCAAACAAATCAGTTACAGTACTTTGGTCAATGTGGAGGATTATGCTTTTAAACCATTGACATTTTAACCAGCCATTACCACCACATGAAGTCTCTTAAAACCAGTACACTTAATCAACAATGTGTTGTGTTTGTAATGGGTCTATTGAATTATCTTTTACTGGTTACAGACGGCTGCTCTAACTGCAGTCTTTGTGCTGCGGGAGGAATACCTCTCGTCTGATTTACCTGCTGCTCGCTGACGAGAGAACGAGCGAGCTAATTAACATGCTGATAGCTACCTCTCCCCATTACTGGCCTCTTGAACCTTGACTGTAACCTTAACAATAACCCATGAAATCAGTCCTCTTTGGCAACGAGCCACATGGAATGGAGACATTTTTAATAACATTGTCGTCCACCCATAAAACCTACTTTCCTCGTTCTTAATGCGTGATTGCTGACAGTTTTCTTCCAAAAAGTCCTTCATACTTTGAAAGTTAAGGCATGTAAAGACTCGGATCACTGACCTGATCATTGATTCTTTCTAAGTTCATCCACGTTATTGAGAAACCATATCTCAATTGTTCACATTTCATTCTGGGAATCCGTGCAATATTGGATAGAAATAGACCATCGCAAAAGCATTTCACTATAAAGTCTTCAGAGCCTCTTCCATCATGAGGCCCTCTCCTGCTGGGATTAAGACATTAATATCAATACAAGGACACATTAATTTCAGGAAAGACACACACACACACATACACACACACACACACACACACACACACACACACACACACACAGTGGCTGAATATGACAAATCTGGAGGTGGAAACCCCGGGGGAAATCGACTCGCTTGTCCCCCCCCCTCTCTCAGATCCATTTCACCTGTCATGTTGTTGAAGGCGAGTTCGGTCCATTATCCTCCTCCATCTGCAGCTTTCCTCGTTGGGCATTTGAGCGGTCACATTTCGCTGTCACACAATTAACCGCCGTAATGATGGCGAGTGTTGTGTGCATCGGAGCAGAACCAGAACTGTGATTGGACGATCTCCGCCTGATGAATGAGTGACAGACAATGATACACAGGCAATAGGGAAGTAACGAGGGATTGTTAGTATCATGAAATAGTCCTTATATCTGCCATGCTTTTAATATATGTCTTTGAAGTCCATTCTTTTCAAATAAAGGGTCTGAAATTAACTCTGTATGGAGCACACCTTTCTTTCTCTTGTGGTAAAATGTAACACGGTTAGCTTTATCTCAACTGATATGAATAATGAGTCTAATGGCCTCTGTCAGTCTGAGTCCTCATTTGATACGAGTGTGTAATGACTTTGTACAAGAAGCAGTCTGTCGGCCCGGTTTCATCACTGAGCCGCTTCATCAGGCGCTGGATAATCAGTCAAATGAAGGAGATGGATTATTTCCTCCGTCATGTCCTCATTGTCTTCAAACCTCCTCTTTGTTTTGGATAGATCTACCTGCGATTTCTCGACTATGAAATGGCCAACTCCAACGAGTGCAAGCGCAACTTTGTGGCTGTGTACGACGGTGGCAGGTGAGACATTTCAACCTTTCAGTCAGATAAATCATGCTCAGACTCATTATCTCCGGATCAAGACTTAATCATGTCATTAACTGAACATAACAACTGACAATTTAGTTTTTCGTGAAGAGTTACGTATTTAATTATGTCAAGACAAGACATTAATGGTTTTGACATCATGCAGTTCCCTTGTCCTTGCTCAACACACAGGAATAATTTTATGAGAAATCAAGAAATGTCATCTGTCTTTTTTTAGTGTTAACCCTTCTCTTGCGTTAGGTCATGCCCCCCTTCCCATGCTATTTTCGGTCAAAATTGACCGGTGTGTTTTGCACAGTGATATCTCTGGAACCCCAATCACTCAAAATTCAATGCAAGTGGTGATCATCAAGTGTATATGTTCAGAGGCCTAGTGTGGAGGATAACATAAGGTATTGAGGTAATTGGATGAAAAACACAATATTTATGATTAAAATAAAAGTCATTCGGTCACTTTTGACCCGAAACGCAAGAGTTAGGAAGGGGGGCCTTTCATCTTAGATGTGACCAAAATATAACAGAGCCTTAAAATCAATGTTGTTGCTACTTCTTGACATATCTCAGACTCTGAAAATGTATTTTTTTGCCGTCTGCTTCGTATTGATAAGTGAAGGCTATCAATCTTTTCATCAGTGAAGCAGGTGTTTGGATTCCAAATATCAAACTGTTCCTTTGATTGAACAGCCAGAGAGCTATTTGAAAGGCGACACAAAGACTTATTTTAATTCAATATAGCGAGAAGATTGAATCATGATCAGAGAAAAAAATAATTGATATTTTGAGATAATAATAGATTCAATTTGTATAGCGCCTTACATGGTGTGAACAAACAAGGAGGGCATGGAAGATACGGATGTAATTGGATCATTAAGTGGTCAAAAACGACTATGAGATCTACATTGTTATCTGGGCCGCGAAGGCATTGCAAGTGGGCCGCCAAATAATTTCCCAAACATTATGATTTGAGTGGAAACATTTAATTATTAAGGTTATTTTTATTTGAACCTCCTGTCCTTTCTCTTTCTCGATCCTCCTTAGCAACGGTCATTACAGTCCTTGACAGCGGTCTGTTCTACTGGATTAACAACGTGTCACATGTTCTGAATCGACCAATCAGAACTTTATTCAGCCTCCGTATTGTTTATGGTTGAATGTGGGCCGCGAAATTTGTTTAGATTCTTAAGTGGGTCCTGAGTTGAAAAAGGTTGGGAACCGCTGAGTGAGGGGATTAAGACATCAAATAAATGCTTCACATTCACAAGATTCATATTGAGATTGTTGATGGCTGTTTCCTCTCCTTCTCTTAGTTCGGTTGAGGACCTGAAGAACAAGTTCTGCTCCACCGTGGCCAACGACATCATGCTGGTCTCCACGCTGGGAGTCATCCGCATGTGGGCGGACGAGGCCAGCCGCAAGAGCCGCTTCCGCATCCTGTTCACCACCTACCAAGAGCGTGAGATATCTGCACTCACACACACACACACGCTGTCATAAAGATGTTTACTGCAGCATGACCCGCCCATCTGAGGGAAACTGATTAGCCTTATTAATCAGACCGCCGCTCCTTGACAGGAAGGCAGAGTAAAAAACAAGTCTGGTGTTTAGTGGTCGCCATTAAAGGCACACTCAAAGAAATAACTCATTGGATTAACTCAATTTTATTGTTGGCAGGTTTTCCATCCAATAAATATATGTGGCACAAACTCAAACTAATGGCATCCATGCAGTATAATGTAAATGAGTTAGTCCAACTCAAATTTTTCAAATAGAGTTTAAGTAAAATGATAACATTACCTTTATGAATTTAAATAATGCTAGTCCACCTAAATCCTATTTAATTAATTGAAAATGAAATAATGAGGTTAAATATAATTTAATAAAAATGTGTTACACATGATAGAAAACATGGTTTAGTTTTTTTTATTTTTAAATTCACATTATTCAAAACAATCCTCCATTCAATACAGTCTTTTTAAAATGAATGAATTCACACTGAAAGATGAAAAACATTTCTGAAAGATAATACCATTTTTAAAATGGCAGAGAAATGGAACTCCTATAATTAACTTACAAATCTCCCTTTGCCAAATACAATGAATACAATATAACAGGGGTATGCACTGCTCTTCTAACAGGACAATAACACATAACATAAAGAGTGCACTGCAAACACCAACATATGGAAATAGTGTTACAGTGTGTTGAAACAAACAAATACAGAAAAGCACAAATGATTGATATAACGGCTCAATCTGCTCTGATTAGGAAACTCGTGAATAAAATGACAACAATGAACTCATGAGTCACTTCTTTTTCACATTTCAATCGAACAACTTGATCTTCAGACTTTCGATTTTACCATTCAGCTTGTGCCCATCCAGATTCATCACTACCTTCTGCATGAACTCGAAGGTGTGTTTGAGGTTGTCCGGAAAGCTCAAATCCAGGGCATAAATAAGTCCCAATAGCATGACAAACCCCACAATCACGCTGCCCAAGTTGTCCATGACTATATTGCCTTCGATGACAATTCCCACGTCCTCTGGCTGCCCATCCACATCTCTTTGAAGTGTGTATATGCCCATGACTGTGTTTGCCATGTCCCTCTTGGCATCTTCAGAGGCAGAGGCCTGAACAAAGACACAAACATACAACATATGTGTTAACTAAAACCTGAATTACTACATTTTATAGAAGCAGATTTACTTATGTGGCTCTCCTAATTGATCAAAACAGTTTTAGACTAACCCTCTGGTATCACTCAAATGTACTACCCTATTTGGCCACTCAGGATAAAAATGTCCACTTTCAAAAACTTGAATGATAAAATGATATGATACAAATATTATATTTAAATATTTTTCCCCCACACTTTTTGGGAAGTGTGGGAACATTTTTTAAATGGACAATTAGGGTAATTTGTACAGTGTATTCGAGACCGATTAGAAAAATTGAAATTCCAAAAAGTATCTAGAAAAAACACAAAATCATTATAGCCAAATCTGATGTGAAAAATTACCAATTTGGACAAAAATGTCCGAGTGATACCAGAGAAGGTTAGGACCTCCAACACAGAACTAAATTAAGCTTGAAAGAAAATGTTTGCATAAATAAGTTATAAAGATATATTCCTGTATGTTCTGTTTGATTATCAACGTTATCTTATTTATTAATTCAGGTATTATTTGTTTACGTCCCTACTTAATAATGTAATTTGTTGTTATTCCTGTAGTTAATTATGCATTTACCTACTTATTTCGATATGTATTTGATTATTTATTCTTTAATAATTTATTTCCTTGATTTATGTGATTATGTAATTATTCCTTTAACAATTTAGTAATTGCTGCATTCACATACCTTTTTAAACATGAATCTATTGATTAATATATTTCAGCATTTATTTATTATTTTATTTATGTATTTATTCAATTATTTATAAGTTCTTACATATGTATTCATGTCCATATTTATTTATTCATTTATAGATGTATTTATATATAAATGTAAATATTTATTTCAGCATTCATTTATTATTTGTATTTATTTCCAGATATATTCATGTTTTAATTCACATTTGTATTTATCAATTGTATTCCTATGTTAATTTATAGATGTATTTATATCTGTATAAATGTATTAATTCACTTTTTTCTATATTTATTTTAACACTTGCCCGATGAAATTACTTCTGTATCTATTTATTATTATTTTTTTATTTCTGTATTTATTCATTCTTACATATATTCATTCCTATATTAATGTATAGATTTATTTATTTCTGCATGTATTTATGATATGTGATAAGATATTTAGATGTAAGCAGGGATAGGGTTGTGTGCCATATAATTTTCTTATTATAAATGTAAGTAATGGTGGTTATAATTGTGGGTAACACTGTTAACCAATACATTGAAAACATATTGTGATAAACATACCTGATACTCCTTAAAAAAAGAGTCTGGATCCTCGTTGAGGTAGATCGCGATGCTTCGCAGGATGCACCCCCTCTTGATGTGGATGTTTTCAAACTAAAGCAGGGGCGATAAATCAAAGACAATTAAGCACAATGCATGTGCAACAGAGCAGGTAGTTTACAACGTAGAGGGCTGTATCTGTCGTGTGTGTCCCTAAGCAGGACTCCTTACACCTACATTTCCACAATAAGCTATTGCCTTAAAAACACTATAAAAGCAGACAATTTCTTAAATGTGTTCATATGATCATGGACAAAAACAATACAGTGAAAAACGAGGTTCTCTGCATTTATACTAACCGAATCTGATATTGCAAGGGCTTCCTTGATTTTGTGCCCCTTCACTCCTCCTTTGGTCTTGAAGATCTTCAAGAGCTTGTCTGAGAAGTGGTCCAGCTGCCACATGAACTTTGATTGAAGTGGTGATGTTGTGATCCTCAAAAACTCCGCATTCACCTTAAAAATATTATTAACAAGCACAATACAACCAATTGTTACTTGTTAATTCTACTGGCTTTGGTGTTAGCTGTTTAGCATGAGTTTTGTATGTGTGATTTAAAAGTTTACTCCATGTGTCAAACGAACATGGGCAATCAGTATATGGACATGGATAGCGACAACTGCCCCTTAAATGTGCATGTGTCTGCCGGAAATGTTTTAACAACAAATACCTGCTAGCTAGTTCCAAACTGCAGTGTTTGCACTGCCACATGCATAACCTGAAAAAGAGAAAAAAGAGAATTAGCAATTGACACTGAACAACTGACAATGTCACAGATCAGCTTATGCAAGTAATGTGAAAGTAGCCGTGTACTTACCATAAATAAGAGGTTGCCCCAAGATGCTTGTTAATGCTGATCAAACTGCAAAAGACAACATAAATATATTAGAGGTGTGATTAAAATGCTTATATATTTGAATTTTCACAGACAACACATAATTGCCTAAGATTGCACAACCCAAAAAAAAAATGATAACAGATCACACTTTAAAATTAAGAGTCTAGTAGACATGTTTTATAAAGCAGGCCTACGTTTCTGCACAACTCTGGGTGCCTGCTTGTGAGTGAGGTAACCCATACAAGATTCACATATATATATTATCTCATTATTTATATTAAATATTTGGCAGTAAAAAACTAAACTCAACTGAACTCCTACAGAAACGAGTGGCTCCGCCTGTCCTCCTCTGCCTGCACTAAGGCCAGGAGAGAGATGGACAGACCTGCTGAGCTTTATGATAGAAAATGGCGGCGCTTACTCTTTGCATTTTTTGGTTGAATTTAAACTGAATTTCGGTGTACTGTGTTCAATGACAATAACGTTAAATCGAATGTAATATAATCTAATGATCTCCATTATCCAGTATTCAATGCTAACCGTATCTAGCAAGCTAGCTAACAAACCAGTTATCCAGCTAGCTAGCTTTACCTCGTGCACTTGAATTACTCTTTGCATTTTTTGGTTGAATTTAAACTGAATTTCGGTGTACTGTGTTCAATGACAATAACGTGACATCTAATTTAATATAATCTAATGATCTCTACTATCCAGTATTCAATGATAACCATATCTAGCAAGCTAGCTAGCTTGCTGTTTAGACCCAACTAAAAACGGAGCAAAATATAACACGGTGGTTTCAAATATTCTTGTCGATATAATGAAAAGGCATTAGGCCTACTTGGAAACAGGGAACATTCTAAACTACTAGAAAAAACAAATACTTACCAAATAATAGACTTTCCACCGTCAGTTTCACACCGTCAGTGTTAGACAAAAGGCGGCAAATGACAGAACGGATCTTGTGCATGCGCAAAGGTGATGTGCAAAGGGGCGGTCCCAAATGAAAACAATTCATTTTGAGTTGCTCTGTCTTAAATACATTTAATAAGTGAATTGATTAATGTAATTTGTGTTACACTAATGAACTATACTTAGGTTTATTTCTTAAATAAAAATATTTAAGTAAAGTGAAACAATTATTAATGTGTCAAGTCTAAGAAGGGCTTGAATCGTTTTTTTGAGTGCAGGAGGAGGTGGAATCACCACGTTTATGGCGACTTATATCCCACGCTGTTAATAGGAAAGGTGCTGTCACAGGTTTCTATTTCGTTTTATGAGCGTTTAAACTTTAAACTGCAGCAAGCAGGAAACGGAGGTATGTGATTTCCATTATAGGGAATATCGCCTCCGGGTTAGTGTGGATATGATAGCATTGGTGGATTTAGCTCAGCCAGCACTGTTCTTTGTAGATGCAGAGAGAGAGAGAGACAAAGGATGAACTACAGTATGTACACACACACAAACACACTTTCACACACTTTCACACACACAGTAACTCTTCCTCTTGCTGCTCACTGATGGCAGCGTGTAGTTTGACAGGGGTTGCAGAGGGCATCCTTTGTAATAGTGAGGTGAATGAAGAGGGTCTGAGGCTTCAGTATACATTAGGTCAATGTCATTCATCTCCTTTAAATG